AACTTTCACTTTTCAACTGTCAATAATTATCAATGCATCTTGAATGCACATTTGATCAATTTCCAACTGAAGATGTTAGAATTCTTTAATTTCTTCATCATTAGCTTTAGTGGTTGCTGTATATTTTTTTTTAAAAAGCAGTATTAAGTAAACTTCCCTGTGTGTGAATAGTTATTATCCTATCACAGACAGCATTGTATCTCAAGATATATATTGAAATACTCCTTTTGAAGAGGAATGTGACACCATTTCTCTTGAATTTGCCATTCCTGGTATAGTAAGCTCTCTGACTGTCTCATTCAAAATGACCAATGCCAGTCCATTTCAGCTTAGTAATCCCTAGGATACCAATCTAGATAGTTGATTTCACTTTTGATGACTTCTTGTTTTTCTAGAGTCATACTTTGTACACTCTATGTTCAATTATTCATGGATGTTTGTAGCTATTTCTTTTCATTTTGAGTCCTGCCCATCAGGACATGAGGGTCCTGCCCATCCTTGTGGCTGCTATTCTCCAGTCATATTTTGAATAACTTCCCACCTGAGGGGCTCATTACCCAGCATTTTCTAGACAATATTTTGTTGTGATTCATAAGGTTTTCTGTAGCTAGTTGACATGCAGTCCTGCCATCCTCGCTTCTAAGGAGCATTCTAGCTGTACTTCTTCCAAGACAGATCTATTCGTTCTTTTGGCAGTCCATGAAGCTTTCAATATTCTTCACCAGCACCAAAATTCAAATGCATTGATTATTCAGAAATGAACAGCCTTTTCTTTCTTTTCAGTCTATTAGTCTAGATGGTTCCGTGGGGACATGGAAGAGTGGGAGGTGGGGGAAGGGAAGTGGTGTTTGCCAACCCAGGGACAAGGGAACAAGGAGTGATTCAAAACCAGTGGCAAGGAGGGGATGGGAGTGATCAAGGGCAATGTAACTGAGAGGAATTACTGAAACCCAAATGAAGGCTGAGCATGGTAGTGGGACAAGAGGAAAGTAAAAGGAAATAGAGGAAAGAACTAGGAGGCAGAGGGCATTTATAGAGGTCTAAATACAGGCATGTGCATATGTAAACATATTTATATATGATGATGGGAAATAGATCTATGTTCATATATTTATAGGTTTAGTAGTAGGGTGGCAGATGGACATTGGGCCTCCACTCACGTGCTTCCTCAATATAAGAACACTTTGCTCGACTAAATGGACATTCCATGATACCCACCTCCCTGACACGATCGCTGAAGACAAATGTGTGCATAAGCTAATGTGGTGGAGGAAGCTGATGGTGCCCGACTATCAAAAAATATAGCACCTGGGGTCTTAAAGGCTTGAAGGTAAACAAGCAGTCATCTAGCTGAGAAGCAACAAAGCCTACATGGAAGAAGCACACCAGCCTGTGTGATCACGACGTGTTGAAGGAATCAGGTAGCAGACACCAAAGAACAAAAATCATCATTGTGTGTTCATTTTTCCCATACAAAAGCTGAAGACAAATGTGTGCATAAGTAAGCATGGTGAAGAAGGCTGATGGTGCCCGGCTATTAAGAGATATAGTGTCTGGGGTCTTAAAGGCTTGAAGATAAACAAGCGGCCATCTAGCCCAGAGGCAACAAAGCCCACATGGAAGAAGCACACCAGCCTGTGTGACCACAAGGGTTGAAGGGTTGAAGGGACCAGGTATCAAGCACCAAAGAATAATCATATCATCGTGAATGAGGAGGAGTGCAGGGTGGGGACCCAATGCCCATCTGTAGGAACTAGACATCCCTTGCAGAGGGGTCTTTGGGAAGAGACGAGTCACTCAGGGTGCAGTTGCATCGATGAAACACACAACTTTCCTCTAGCTCTTAAATGCTTTCTCCCTACCCCCACTATCATGATCCCAATTCTAACTTACAAACTTGGTTAGAACAGAGGATGTACAGTGGTGCAAATAGGAACTGGAAGCACAAGGAATCCAGGACAGATGAACCCCTCAGGACCAGTGCTAAGAGCGGTGATACCCGGAGGGTGGAGGGAAGGTGGGGTAGAGAGGGGGAACCAATTACAAGGATCTACATATAACCTCCTCCCTGGGGGATGGATAACAGTAAGTGGGTGAAGGGAGATGTTGGGCAGTGTAAGATAAGATAAAATAATAATAATTTATAAATTATCAAGGGTTCATGAGGGAGGAGGGAACGGGAGGGAGGGAAAAAATGAAAAACGAGGAGCTGATTCCAGGAGCCCCAAGTGGAAAGCAAATGTTTTGAGAACGATGAGGGCAACGAATGTACAAATGTGCTTTACACATTGTATATGTACGTATATGGGTGAAATCCAACTTCTCAATCAGGACACAGACTTATGTGGCCCATTTGACAGCTATAAAAGATGCAGTGTAGAACTGTTTCTCTATTCTTCTTCCTGCTGGCCTAGATCCTGCATCTGGTTTCTTGGGATGTGGGCCAGCTCTCTATGATATTGCTTGCCAATCCTGTGAGCTATTAGTGGCCTGGAAGGGCCTCCAAAGTAGCATCTGACCCACAGACTTAAGCTGGACTGGGTTATCTGCTTTGTGACTATAATAGTTAGGTTGTCTGTGCCAACATGGCACCTGTAAGAAGATATGGGTGCCTGTCAATCATACTGATGGTACTTACTAGTGGATGTGGCCTTCTCATAAGGAGGATCCTGGGAACTTCCTTTCTCTCTCTCTCTCTCTCTCTCTCTCTCTCTCTGTTTCACCTTCCTGTCAAAGAGCCATGCTGATACCTGTGAGAGCCCTGAAGCTGCATCTACTGCCATTGGATTCCTAGGTCCTTGCATCCACCAGCCTGTGATCGTCCTATGATCCTCTTCCATTCTGCATCACTGCCTGCTGCTGCGTGAATATGAAAAGGGACTTATGGACTAGTATCGGACTTATGGACTTTGTTGGACTGAGCTGGAATGTTTTCCTGATATACAATTGTGTCTTGATATACAGCTTTTTTTTTTACACATATGTAAGTGTCACTGGATTTGTTTCTCTAGTCAACCTGGCCTAACACAGTGATTGTGTGGCTGCTCTCTTGATATAAATTTCATTTCTTGATATATATTTATATAAAGAGAGGAGTTTATAAATGCCACTCACTGGTTTTACTTCTCTATAGAACCCAGCCTAATTCATTACCCAGGTTAGATAATCTTTCATCAAGACTCCATTCAACTCACTTAAATCTGAAAACACATGACAATTCTAATTCTTTTGTGCCATGATGGTATGTCAAGCTATGTCTCTTGGACTCTTCAATCCTCCCATAATTTTATTTTCCTAAACTCCTCAAATAATAGAAACATACAAAGAAAGATCTATGCAATTAAGAATTCTATGTTACACTAGTATACAGTTTAGCTCAATAAAAACTAAGAAAGATACCCTTCAGGAAAAAATTTAAATAAAAAATATTTTAAATCTCAAAATAAATAAATTTTAAAATTAGGTTTATTTGTAAAACAATTAAATCCAATAAATGTTTGGGATTGCAAATAATATAAAAATAGACATATAAACAGAACTTTAAAAATACAGGTAGAACTGTTTAACATTTTAAATAATCCTCTACTCTTCATATACAAATTTTCAATACAAAAACAAAAAAACATTTAAAATTCCAAATTCATCTCTTCTGCAACCTAGCAATGGGCCTATATAACACATTATCTCTAAAGTATGAATCTAACTTAGAATAAATTACTACAGGGTACAATTTTTAAATAGCACCAATTTAATCTTGACACGCTAATTAAAGAGAACTTAAAAACTACTATATTGCTCAAGTCTACCAATCCAAGATTACAACTTAGATATGTAGCTTCTCTTGTAAGAACTGTAGTCACTCAGGCCTCTGTTCATGCCCTCCCTCAATGCAAGAACACTTTGTTCTAACAACCTGGCATTCTGTGATGCTTACCCTCCTGGCACAATCACTAAAGACAAAATGGGTGCATAAGCAAATGTGGTGAAGAAAGTGGATGGTGCCCAGCTATCAAAAGATATAGTGTCGGGGGTCTTAAAGGCTTGAAGTTAAACCAGCGGCCATCTAGCAGAGAAGCAACAAGCTCACATGCAAGAAAGCACACTAGCCTGTGCGATCATGAGGTGTCAACAGGATTGGGTAACAGGCATCAGAAGACCAAAAACAAACATATTATTGAGAACGAGGGGGTGTCGGAGCAGAGGCCCCAAACCCATCTGTAACAATGGGACATGCCCTCCCAGAAGGGTCACAAGGAAGGAAGGAATCAACCAGGGTGCAATATAGCACAGATGAAACACAATATTCCTCTGGTTCCTTGAGGCTTCCTCATGCCACACTATCATGACCCCAGTCCTGCCTTTCACTGTGGGCTAGACCAGAGCATGTGCACAGGTACAGATAAGAGATAAGCGCTAATGACACAGGGAATCCAGGAATGGGAGTAGCAATGCCAGGAGGGTAGGGGGAAAGTGGGAAGAGTAGGAGAGGAAGAGGGAACCGATCACAATAATCAACACATAACTACCCTCCCACCCCCCACCCCCCAGAAGGACGAACAGCAGAAACCATGGGAGAAGGGAGACAGCAGTCAGTGTAAGGTATAAAAAATAACAATTTATAATTTATCAAGGGGTCACACAGATGGGGGGAAAGGAGCTGATACTAAGGGTTCAATAGAAAGTAAATGTTTAGAAAACAATGATGGCAATATATGTATAAATATGCTTGATACAATTGATGTATGGATTATTATAAGAGCTGTAAGAGCCCCCAGTAAAATGACCTTTTATTTAAAAAGACATTATTTTAAACAAAAAAATAGTACTATAGTCACGATATTATAATACCTCATTAATTCATTTTTAGATTAAATCAGAAAAGAAATAAAAATAGCAAGCAATATTTTTAAATGATTTACACTGACACCAAAAAAGTTCAATAATAAAGACTCAAAGGTAGAATTCAACATTTGGTTATAAACTTTAGAAAAGGGATTAACCTTAGAAGACTTCCTTCGGCTTCTTCTTGTCCAAACCACCACCAGTTTATCTGGTTGCCTGTCAAACAAGAAAAATAAGTAACTATAAGTTATTTTAAAACAAATGAAAGTTAGAACTAGTGCCTGTCATAGCTGGAGAAGTATGTGCCAACTAGGATAGGCCATGATTCTCAGTTCAGCCTTGATGTAATTTGGCAGTTTTGTAATGATGTGATCATCTTCTATAACGTGATTTGATATGATCAAACCCAGTGAGCTGCTACAAACAAAGTCAGCAGTTTGAAAATACCAGCAGGACAAAGATGAGCCTTTCCATTCCCTAAAGAGCAGCAGTCTCAGAAACCCAGAGGGGCAGTTCTACACTGTCCTAAGACTCAATAGCAGTGAATGAGTTTGGGACAGAATCCTTACTCAGGACTCAATCTTGATCAGAGTTCCTCTGAGGTGGTCTGCATTGCCATTTATCTAAAAACTCGAAACTCATAAATTCCAACTCACAGAGACTCTACAAGACAATAGAACTGCGCCCACAAGTTTCCAAGGCTGTATCTCTACAGAAGTAGAAAACCGCATCTTTGTTCCTCAGAGTGATAGTTGTTTCAAACTGCAGGCCTTAAGGTTAGTAGCCCAAAGTAACCCACTACACATCATCATTTACCTTAGAAGAGATGAAAGGAGAGAGAAATGAGCAGAGGAGGGGCCTGATCACAGAGGAGCCAGAAGAGGAGTCAGTTTTCTCCTTCACTGAAAACCTCCTAGATCCTAGAGGAAGCCTGATGCCAAGACATGTGACATCAATTTTCCAAGGGACACAAGCCTACTGAGGTTGAAAGGAAACCAGGATCTTTCTCTAGTGCTGACAGAGAAAGAAAGCATCCCCCTAGAGCGGAAGCTCTGAATTGGAACTTCCAGTCTACTATGAGAGAATAGGTTTCTATGTGTTAAAGCTATCCACTTGTGGTATTTCTATACTAGATAAATATGACTATGTTTAAAACAGTGGTTCTCAACCTTTCTAATGTTGCGACCCTTTCATACAGTTCCTCGTGTTGTGGTGACACCCCAACCAGAAAATTATTTTCGTTGCTACATCTAAACTGTAATTTTGCTACTGTTATGAATCAGGCGACCCCTATGAAGGGGTCATTCGACCCCCAAAGGGGTCACAACCCACAGGTTGAGAACCGCTGGTTTAAAAGGACAAAATGTCAACTGCATTAGAATAGTTAACATCTTATAATAAAACTCTGTAAGTTACAAATTATTCAATTGTAGATGTTGAACAAAGATGTGATATGATTTAATGACTAAGATTTCATCAACATGCTTTTCTTAAAATACCTTAGCAAGCTTCTTCATCAAGATAAGCCAAGAAAAATAAAATGCAGTTGGTAACGGTTTGAAAATGTAGAGCACACATCACATATTGTCTACAAAAATTAATAATACTTACTAGTACTTCTAAAGCACCGTTTTTTAATTTGAGGGAGAGAAGGAATCATGAAAATGACACTTCCAAACTAATTTAACTCTATACGTTATACTATTTTTTGCATCTCTGTGTCTTAGAAATAATGCTTATGGCTTTGAAAATGTTTTTATAATAATCTTTTATCTATATAAAAGTAATTCAGTACTTAAAAAATAAACAAGGTGCCTAATATTACTCTTTATTTTATAAGCTTGAAAAATTGATAAAGTTAAATAATTCATCAAAAGCTCCAGCAGAACAAACACTGGACTACAACAGGTCTTCTAGTTCTCAGACCTTTTCTTTATATTTTGCTAATATAAAGTCCAATAAAAATGATATTTTCAGCTAATATAAGGTTCCTTTGTGCTTCAAGACAGCATAATAATGTTATTTTAATTTTCACTTTAAAAATCTTAAATAAAAGGCTTTCATCAAAAAACCAATAGGTTATTCATCCTTAATCACTTTCACCACTTTCTATGCACCCTTAATTTTAATTGCCCTGGGATCCTTCACTATTAGTATATGAACTTTCTTTTCATTTCATTTACACACACACACATATACACACACACCCTTGGTGTGGTATAGTAGGTTACTTGTTGGGCTGCAGTGGTAGTTGCATAATCTGTTGTCAATTTGAGACTTTTGAGTGAAGGGGTTTTATCTGTCAATCAAGTCACAGTTTGATGACCTCACTTGGAGGTGCTAAGGAGATAAATAGCTCGCTGGAAACAGGGCACTCACTCACGCCCTGAGAGACTCTCTACTGACAAGACACATGGAGCTATGCTGATGGCGAAAACCCTATATTTGGAGAAGCCACATGGAGACCCTTGCCAGGGCTGAGATGCTTATAACACCACTGGATCCACAAGATTTCCCACCCACTGGCCTGTGATCTTCCTGCATTTGGCATCATTGCATGTGTTTCATGAGTCTGAAGAGGATTTTATAAATTGGTATCGGACATTTGGGCTAATATAGGACTTATGAACTTGATCTGGACTGGGCTGGGTGTTTTCTCAATATTCAATTGCTCTTGTATATAAAGCTCTTTCCTATACACATGTGAGTGTCTATAAATTTGCTTCTCTAGTCTACCCATACTGACACAGCTGCTAAATGTAAAGTTGGCAGTACAAACCCACCAGGCCTTCCCTGGGAGAAAGATAAAGTTTTTGGCTCCCTTAAAGCTTTATAGTCTCAGAAACTCTAAAGAACAGTTCTACACTGTCTTATAGGGTTCACTGTGCATGTGTATGGAATTAACTTCATGACAGGGGTTTGATATATATAACAATCACACACACATAAAAGGCTCCTAGCCTTAAACTCTCTACCCAATGATCTGCCTACAAACCTGTACTGACAAATTCAAAAAGAAAGTGTTTAGTTAAAAATTTTGCTGGGGAAATGTCTCAGAATGCAGCAGAGAGAAGGAATATAAAAATTGTTGAATGGATAGACTGAAATACTGTACAAACACCTAAAAGACATTCTAGAAGTTGAAAACAGTAGGAATAACAAAGGCAATACTAAACATATAACAAAAAATGCTTTAGATTTGAAGAAACATAAGCATCTTCAGAAAGTATATAAGGAAGGACAGGTTACCCATAACAAAATAATTGAACCACCATTAGCAACAATAGAACCAAAAATACAATGAAGTTAAATGCTGAAGCTGACACCGCAGAGTTTTAAACCTGTCTGGATTAGGAAGGTATGAGTCAGGAAATGTTTTATAAATATTAAGACTAAGACTTTACTAATGTATAGATCTCAGCTAAAGGAGGGCAAGAGATAGGCACAAGAAGCATAAATATGCTAACTTGTTAATGTTTATTCATTTATGTGAAAGAACTTGAAAACAAGAGAAAGCTTCCAATAATGATAATAGCTCACTAAAGTGCCATCTAAACAAATAAACACTTGTTTCTGATAGTGATGCTAACAAAAATAGTGTAAATAGGTAGAAAAATGGTGGTTATTCATCCGACACTGAGCCTAGTTCCCATCAAGTGTCAGACTTTAAAGACAGCTCTCACATAAAACCAGAAGCTTACTTTGGTAAGTCTTCCCAGAGCAAGATGTTGGGAACAGACACAGAAGTGCAAAATTATAGGTGAAACACAAGATTGTTTCTACAAAACAGCAGTGTTGACCTAAGAATCTGTCCCAGTGCAGAAGCCAAAAACATATATGCCCCCAAACGAAAACAAAACAAAAAAACCCCTTGTCCACCAAAATACAAAACAAAACCTACTGCCATTGAGTTGATTCCTTTTCAAAGAAACTCTATCGGACAGAGTAGAACAGGCTCTATGGGTTTCTAAGATGTAAATCTTTATAGTAGAAAACTTCATCTTAATCTTGAGCAGTTGGTTTCAAACTGCTGACCTTGCAATTAATAACCTACCTTGTAAGCCACAACACCACCAGGGTTCCTTTTTGTCCAAAAGAGGGCAGTAAAATTGGACAAATGACATTGAGGATAGGTAGCAGTATGGCAAAGGTAAGAGTTGAGAGGAAGATAATGACTGGTGCTCGCAGCTTAACAGGAGAGGAGGCAAGTAACCAAAAAGGTAACTACTTTGAAAGCACAGGTGGCTTGCTGGAACTTAGAACTGCCGTTTCCCATCCTATTATGTTGTTTGAGAGTCGGGGACACAAAAACAACTGTGGCGCTGGAGAAGAATATAGAAAGTATCATGGACTGTAAAAGGACAACCCAAACTGTACTAGAAGAAGTAAGGCCAGAGTGCTCATAGAGGAAAGGATGGAAAGACTTTGTCTTACGTATTTTGGACATATTGTCAGGAGAAAGATATCATGCTTGGTAAAGTGGAAAGGCAGTGAAAAGGGGGAAGGCCCTTGATGAGATGGATTGATACAGTGGCTGCATCAATGGGCTCAGGCATAGGAATAATTGTGAGGGTGGCGCAGGACCGTGCAGTATTTCGTTCCACTGTGCACAGGGTGTCTATAGGCCAGAGTCAACTTGGTGGCACCTAACAACAACTTAACAGCTAAGAGATTTGAGTCTACCCAGAGGCACCTCAGAAGGAAGGGCTGGTGGTCTGCGTCTGAAAAATGGCCAGTGAAACCTGAACACAATCCTACTTCGATACCCCTAGGGTCTCCAGGAATCGGAAATGACTCCACAGCAACTGACCCTGCCCTGACAACACTTTCAAGTGTACTTCTCCAGCTAAGATATCTTTCCTGAACTTCAAACCCAAATATCCAACAGCTTACAGGTTGTATTTATCTAACTGAAGGTATCCTGTTGGCCTTTCAAAATCAACATACTTAAAACTAAATTTGATATTCTATGTAATCTTTTCCCTACTCTTCCTACATTCCTTATGTGGGTGAATACATCATGCAGCAACCATCCTGGTACCACAGGAGACATCTAATCATCCTTGAAGTCTTGTCCCTCAATATCCACATCTATTCACCAAGTCTTCCACATTCTACTTCTTAATCATTTTCTGAATCTGTCCCCTTGTCTTAGTTTTCTAGTGCTGCTATAGCAGAAATACAAGTAGAGGGGGTAGGTCCAGGTTATTTGTATC